AGACACCCAAGTCCCCAAACACCTGAACCGCTCTACGCACGCGACCAGCCCTAACAAAACTATCAACAACAATGGACAACATGAAGAAATCAAAGTGAACAGCATTTAGCCTCATGTCACGCAACACATTCATCATGAAGGGGAAAAACTTCCTTCTTCCTAGCGCCTTAACAATCACGTGGTAGCTACTAACGTCCTTGGGAACCCCTGGCTGTTTAACCGCCCAGTTAAAAAACGTGAGCATGGCTTGGCCACTGAGGTTACCGTGGTTGAGGACACGGGCGAGAACATTGATGTCCACGTCAGCAGCAACGTTGGACAAGGCTTGTTGGATTGCGGCCTTGCCCTTTAGGTTGTGGAGGAAAACTCCGCGGAGTTTGTCTTCGGGGGCTAAAAAGGCGTCGACGGGTTTGGAAGGGGGTAAGGGGAAAAGGTGTGAGAGTTGGTCGAGGACGTGGCGTTCGTGGAGAGATGAGAATGGGGGACGGAGCGTGGAAGTGAGGGAGCGGAGGAGAATTCCGAAAGAGCGAAATGCCATCAACTGTGCCTGAGGTCCACAGGGGAAGCTCACCAAATTGTGCACCAATCAGACGGAATGTTTCTGTTTTGTTTCAACTTTTTTTTTCTTTCTTCTTTTTCTGTCAGTTTAACTAAATACGTTCTTCTAAGGGAAGTGATTGATTTTTAAAAACTAGAGAATAAGTATGTATGATGTAAATATTATAAAAAAAATTATTTTTCTTACTAAATATTTTTTTTTATCTGCCTTGCATCTATTATTCATTTTTATCTAACAATTTGACGGACTTCTTAAATTATATGCCCCTATTAATCATTTTTTGTCTCACAATTTGATGGAGTTCTTTAATTTTTATAGTAAGTTTTATTTTAAGTTACTTTATATAGATTAAGAAAAATAAATAAATAAAAGAAAATAATTATTTTTTAAAATTAATTTTATGATTAATCTTCTTTACCAAAAATGATGCAACAAAAAACTCACTTTTTACATAATATTATTAGGAGTATAAATAGAAAAAACTAATTAATATTGTATTGAAAAATTAGTTTGACACTTATTTTGAAACTTTTTTTTTCCTAATGTAACACTTATTATGAGACGGAATGAGTATATTTTACCTGTTCTTAATTCATTTGTGAACACATTTCTCTCATTCAATCGGAACTCTTCGTAAAATAAATAAATAAATAAATCATACTTTTGTCTCTTTATAACTTTTGGTTTGCATATTTTGATCTCATTTATTTTTAATTACGCAATTTTTATCTTTAAGTTTTAAAATTATATGATGGAGGACCATCCTTGGTACTTCATGTGAAATCCATCGCATGGTTCATGACCAATTTGAGAAGTATAGAATTTGATGGGAACATGTGGACGAACCATTATAAGCGGGTGATGTCACCAGTGCAGGTGGATGTCTGAACTGTTCTACTTCTAAAAAAAAAAAATTAATCTTATATTTTGTTTTAAATTTAGTAAATAATCGACCATTAAAAGTGCCTAGGATAAATTAAATTTATTAAGATGAACAAACTAAGACACTCAATCGTTTAACTAACTTTGTGAGAAGAAATCTTTTCATCTCATCACATAAGTGGATGTGAAGAAAGACACTGGCTGAAATTATTTTATTAGCTCTCCTTTGATAAAGTTATACTCATCATTATATCCTCCCAAAACTTTTCTACGACAGCAACTGCACACAAATTCATCAAGATAATAATAGCTCTATCAACATTTGGAAAAATCTATGAAAGTGGCACCCATCTATTCAAACTACAATCCATGTTGAAGGCATATCAAATTCAAAGGACCTCACATACTCTGGATTAACACTGTTAATCTCTTCAAAAAACCACCAATCTCCTTCAAAAGAATCGTCTGCTCACTCCAAAACCTCTCACTTGCTGTTTTTTTGGAATGCACCATGATTATCTATCTCCTGTGCCTTGTAATTGGCGCACGATTATCTTTGTACTTCACAATTCTCTACTATAGTCTTCAGAACACAAGACCCTCGGCGGAATATCGGCTGCAGTGTATTGTAATTGAATTGAACTCATCAAATAAAAAGATTGTTTATATAACTTTTGTGAAAACCCTGCATGAAGTCCCATGCTTCCTTCTCATTCATTCCACGCTTAACAAGACGCCAAAGGCATTGCTCATGTTGATTACCCAAATGACAGATATTCTACCTCAACAAAAGATACGCTTGAAGAGCTTCTTTCGACGCACAAGCTATGACTCACCCATGGAAGGCAGGAAAACATTGTAGTTCCTTGTGTGGAGAGAACTCACCCCATTTTCTTACAAAGACAGATGAGAGAAAAGAAGTAATGATTGATATCACTTTGCTAGACTGCCTCTCATAGAACTTGGGAGGCCGTCTTGAAAACAAAAGTATACTCATTAGTCATTACTGAACCCATGTGCAAGCACCATGGTTTTAAATTGCGGTTGCGGTCGCGGTTGCAGTTACTGCGGTTGCGGGTATTGCGGGTATTGCGATGCGGATTGCGGTGTGAGATTATTAATTATTTTCACTAAATATAAAAAATTTATAATTATCAATATATATTTTATTTTTAAGGATTTATACATTTTAATTCCTTTTTTTTTAAATATTCTATTATTTTAATGAATAATTTAATTTATTTTAAAATTATAGTATCAATTTATCGTATTGCGGATGTATTGCGGTACATTGCAGATGTGTTGCGGA